TGAGAGAGAAACATCAATCAGCTGCCTCCTGCACACTCCCCACTGGGGATGTGCCCGCAACCAAGGTACATGCTCTTGACCGGAATCGAACCTGGGACCCTTGAGTCTGCAGGCGGATACTCTATCCACTGAGCCAATCCGGTTAGGGCATTAATTCCCTTTTAATGTGCATGAATTTTGTGCACCGGGCTACTAGTAGATGCATATAAACACAAAACACCACCATTTAACCACTAGACTCCAAGGATTAATAATATATAGAGAATTGGTTATGTGACCTCAGCAAGTTTTTAAAGATGTTCTAAATGATATTAAGAACATTGTATTAAGAGATGAGGGAAAGGTGTGTGTGTGTGTGTGTGTGTGTGTGTGTGTGTGTAAGCAGAAGAAAATCATGATCAGGCTATTTCAAATCTGAGAAGTTACAAGCGCACATCCAAATAAATGACATCACATAGACATCAAACCAAAAAGAGGGGTCTGTCATTGAGTACAGGACATTTTATCTTTTGAAATAATAGCATGAGAAAGTTTACTTTTATATATTGCTTTTGTATACTGCACTCTTGCTAAATTTATTTATTAGTTATGTTTCTATATATTAAGAACAAACTATCAGAAAAAATATTAGAAAAACAACTCCATTTAAAATTGCATCAAGAATAACATACTTAGGAATAAATTTAATAAGGAGGTGAAAGATCTGTACACTTAAGACTATAAGACAATGCAGAAAATTGAAGATGATGAAAATAAATTAAAAGATATTGCATGCTTATGGATTTAAAAAATTAATATTGTTAAAATGTCCATAGGGCCTAAATCAATCTACAGACTCAATGCTATCCCTCTCTAAATTCCAATGGCATTTTTCACACAAAAAAAGGAAGAAAAAATTTTATTAATATATTTTATTGATTTTTTAAAGAGAGGAAGGGAAAGGGATAGAGAGCCAGAAACATCGATGAGAGAGGAACATCGATCAGCCGCCTCCTGCACAATCCCCACTGGGTATGTGCCCACAACCAAGGTACATGCCCTTCACCAGAATCGAACCTGGGACCCTTGACTCCGCAGGCCGACGCTCTATCCACTGAGCCAAACCGGTTACAGCGGAAGAAAATTTTTGAATGAAACCACAAAAGACCCAAAATAGCCAAAGCAATCTTGAGAAAGAAGAACAAAGCTGAAGGCATCACACTACCTGATTTCAGACTATATTACAAAACGACAGTAACCAAAGCAGTATGATATTGGCATAAAAACAGACACACAGATCAATGGAACAAAATATAGAGCCCAAAGGGAACCATCAAAATGCAAAAGATTAAAATTGGAACCCTATCTTACACCATACATGAAAATAAACTTAAAATGGATTAAAGACTTAAATTTAAGACCTGGAACTATAAAATTATTTAAAGAAAACATAGGGGTAATACGCTTGTCATCATTCTTGGCAATGCTTGATATGAGAAGCAGAGGCAACAAAAGCAAAAATAAACAAGTAAAACTAAAAAGTATCTGCACAGCAAAGGAAACCATCAACAAAATGCAAAGGAAACTCACAGAATTAGAGAAAATATTTGCAAATCATATATCTGACAAGTATTAAATACCCAAAATATATAAAGAACTCACACAACTCAATAGAAAAACAAACAAACAAACAATGCAATTCAAAAATGGGCAGAGGAACTAATAGACATTTTTCCAAAGCAGGTATACAAATGGCCCAAAGGTGCACAAAAGGTACTCAATGTAACAAGTCATCAAAAAAAAAAAAACAAACACAAAAAAACCCAACAAAACAAAACAACACAAAAAACAAAACAAAATCAAAACCACTATAAGCTATCACCTCACATATATTAAAATAGCTACCATCAAAAGATAAGAGAGAACAAGTGCTGGTGAGGATGTGGAAAAAGGCAGCCCTGTGCACTGCTTGTGAGAATGTAAATTGGTGCAGCCACTATGGAAAATGGTATGGAAGTCCTTCAAAAAATTAAAAATAAACTACCACGTGATCCAGCAAGCCCACTTTTATGTATATATCCAAAGAAAATGAAACAGCACCTCAAAGTGATATCTGCACTGTCATGTTCCCTGCAGCATTATTCCAGATATAGAAATAACCTAAAAATCTGTCAACAGATGAATGGATAAAGCAGATGTGAGATAGATCCATACAAAGAACTCACACAACTTAATAGAAAAACATAATGGAACATTATTCAGCCATGAGAAAGAAGGAAATCCTGCTATTTTCAACATGGATGGAATTTGAGGGCATTGTGCTAAATGAGATAAGTCAGACAGAGAAAGACAAATACTGCATGCTATCACCCTACATGGGAACCTGAATAAAATTCAAACTTGTAAAAACAGAGAGTAAAAGTGGTTGCCAGGAGCAGGGGGAATGAGGAAAACCGGGAGAGGTTAGTAAAAAGGTAAAAACTTTCAGATATAAAATAAATAAGGTCAGAGCATTTAGTAAATAGCATGGTGGTTCTACTGTATTTATTGTATAAATAAAATATACTAAGAGAAAATTGAAAAATGCTAAATACTGTCACCAAAAAAATTTTTAAAAAGCAAAGTGGAAATGCTGCACTATACATTACCATTAACAGTATATAAGTGTTCAAATATCTCTACATCCTCGCCAATACTTGGTATTATCCATCTTTTTTATTACAGACTAGAGGCCTGGTGCACAAAATTCGTGCACGGGGTGGGGGGTGTGTCCCTCAGCCCAGCCTGCACCCTCTCCAATCTGGGACCCCTCGAGGAATGTCCAATTGCCCGTTTAGGCCCAATCCCACTGGGAAGTCGGACATCCCTCTCACAATCCAGGACTGCTGGCTCCCAACCGCTCCCCTGCAGGCCCAATTGCCCCTAACCACTTCTGCCTGCCAGCCTGGTCATCCCTAACTGCCCTCCC